CCCCTTCGCGTTCCTGCCACTGTGCCCCCAGCGCCTCCGCGCCAGCTGCAGGGGCGGCTCCGGGGAGCCCGATCCTAGCCCCTGCTCCTGGCTGCTCAGAAAGAGAAGCCGCTGCTCTGGGCCGCCCCCAGCCAGCCCTGCTCTAAAGCCAGAGAAAGGCAGGAGGCAGAGGGGATAGACATTGAGCGGGCAAGTTTCTCATCCCACAAAACCAAACACATTTGCTCTCCCCCTTCCCCTTGGCTGCACTCCCGCCCCGCCCCATCTTACAGGAGGCTGGAAAGGGGTGATGGCTAATGCCAGAGCTACGGGATTTGGGTGGGGCCACAAAGGAAGGGTTGAAGATGTGTCTGACTCGGAGCTGGGGCAGCGCTTAGGGTGTGGGAAGGGATACAGGCTCTGGTCTGGGGTCCAGGTTCGGGGGGGGGGGGGTTGGAGATAGGGGTTGAGGTATAGAAGTTTGTAGTGTGGGAGGTGGCTCAGGCTTAGGGCAGGGGGTTGGGATGCTGAAGGTTGGGATGCTGAAGAGGCTGTTGGAAGCAGGCTGTGGGCAGTACTTTCCAGGAGAGGCTCTGTGGAAGCAGCAACATGAGGGGTCAGGGAGCTCTGTGAAATGAGCTCTTGCCCCAGGCACTGTCCCACAGCTCCTATTGGCTGCAGTTCCCATATAAGGAAAGTTGTGGAGCCAGCTCTAGTGATGCAAGAACTTGTCCTTGGTTGACCCTCTGCTTAGGAGCCAGAGGAAGATGTCACTGCTTCCTGGAGCCACAGGGAGCCTACCATCCTCGCCAACTGGACTTTTAATGGCCTGGTCAGCACCATTGCTAGAGTCTGTTTTTGACTGGGCTATCCAGTTGAATATTGGACACCTGGCAACCCAAGATGGAAGGGATGAATGGTGGGAAGCTTAGAGGCATGGAAGCAGGGGCGGCCCTTGAGTATAGGCTGACTCAGCCGTCGCCTAGGGCGCCGCATTAAACGGGGTGCCCAATGATGACATCACACCATTCAGGGCTGTGGAGGCGGGGGTGCCAATCGCACATTCTGCCTGGGGGGCCAGCTGCCGTCAGCCTGCCTCGGGCTGCCCCTGCATGGAAGGGCCAGGGTTGTGGAGAGGCAGGTTAACTGGAAGGGCTCAGAGAATTGGTGGGCTGTTGAAATGAGGAAAGGGGCTTGGAAAATTTTGAGTGGGTTTGGTGTAGTAGCAGATCTGGTGGAGGGAGCTAAAGGATGGGAAATCTCTCCCCCCCCCCCCCCCCATACACACACACTTTAAAAAACCCCTTCTTCCACCTCACCAAACTCATCATCAGAAGCAAGCTCCACACAGAACAGGTACATCAACTGAAAGCAACACTAGATCCCGCCAGAATAACTGCAGAATCTGCAGATGTTTCTGCTTCTGCAGTAATCAACACTTCCCTACGATCCATGGATGCATACACATGCCTATCACAACATACTATGTAGTCCCAGTAACAACTATGTGGAAGAAACCAGACAATCACTATTTTCTCAGATGAACTCACAGGAAAATGATAAAAGATAAAAACACCCTGTCATTTCTGAGTGGACACTTTTCACAAAGAGATCATTCCATATTTGACAGTTCTTATCCTCAAAGGAAACCCATGGATGCATACACATGCCTATCACAACATACTATGTAGTCCCAGTAACAACTATGTGGAAGAAACCAGACAATCACTATTTTCTCAGATGAACTCACAGGAAAATGATAAAAGATAAAAACACCCTGTCATTTCTGAGTGGACACTTTTCACAAAGAGATCATTCCATATTTGACAGTTCTTATCCTCAAAGGAAACCTGCACAACACTTTCAAAAGATCAGCCTGGGAGTTTAAATTCAGAACTTTGCTAGACACTAAAAGTCATCATCTTTATGAAAACACTGGACTTATAAATTATTACAACAACCTGTAACCAACTAACTCCACAATTTTGTCCAGAAGAATGTTAACAAGCTACTTTCCCAGACCTAGAAAAGAACTCTGGATAGCTCAAAGGTTTGTCTTTTTCACCAGCAGAAGTTGGTCTAATAAGAGATATTATCTTATCCACTCTCTCTCTCCAATATCTTGGGACTAACACAGCTATAAGAACACTAAATACAATTTCTGATGCTGCTCAAAATTGTTGGAAGAGACAAATTCAGTGTCTTATAAAGCACTATGGAAAATATTTGCACTGACTGGGATGTTCCAGCTTTTTCTTTATTTCCAAGGTGTCCAAAATATGTGGATAAAGTTTGGGAAAAACTGACAGCATTAAATCATGTAAACCATCCAATATCTATGAGTGCAAAGCCATTTACCTGCTGTGTCATCAGAAGCACTCAACATAATGTTCCAGGGAAGTCACTCTTTTGGCTGAGTTACTGATTAGTGCTGTTGTTTTAGCAATTATAACAATTATGAATTGCAGGAATCACTCTAGATTTACTAATCAAATTTAGACAGAGACTTGCACAATGAATATGCAGGTCCACTGAATGCTCACTGTGAATGAATGCCTAACTCCGGAAAACTGGACACTCAATGCATGAGCACTATTAAAGCCTAAACAAAGCCTGCTGAGATCATACGTGTCTGTAATAGTAACCGTGGGTACGTCTAGACTACATGGCTCCATCGACGGAGCCATGTAAAATAGTTTACTCGGCATAGTCAAAGAAGCGGATTAAATAATCCCCGCTTCATGAAAATAAAAATGGCTGCCGCGCTGTGCCAACGATCAGCTGATCCGGCACAGCGTGGCAGTCTAGACGCGGATCTGTCGGCTGGGGAAGCCTTTGCTGACTGATCTCTTATGCCTCGTGAAACGGAGGCTATTAAACCATTCTGGTTGTCTTAAAATGACAATTCCAAGCACAAAATTGCTGTAGCTATACCATCCACAATGTCATCTGACATAACTGCCACTGAGGATCAGCCATACAGGGGGAACAGAAGCCATCTAAGCAAAACCAAAAAATGAGACTGGTTCTTGAAGACACTGTCTTGCTATTGATGGTGCTGACAGAAGTAAACGTGCTTGTCATATCACTCATAAAAAAACACTAAGAACATCACACACAAGATCCAGGTCATGGATCCACCTCAGCATAGCAAGTCACTGCAGAAGGAGCTCTTTGGAGAACAAGAAGAGGCCACGTGATCAGAAAGCCATGGCAAATCAGAGACACTTGATACTCACAAGTGCCCTGCAAGAAATAGAATAGTTTTCATCTACCAGGGAACTTTGGTTGTCTACTTTGAGCACCACCCTTAACATCTTCATTTATGTGTTTTATTAACTGATGCCACCAATTCATGCTTGTTATTTTGATTCATATTATGTCTGATTTTAATTTGACTTTATTTTCAATATCAAAAATGCCACAGTAGCTCCTGGAATTTCTGGAGACTGACCACTGTCATATGATGAGGTAGAAACCTCTGTGACCCTAGAACCAAAACAGAGGGGCACTTTCCTGTTAGCACTCCAACACATTTATTACACTGTCAAATCTTTACAGTGAAAATAATAATAGAGCACAATCCTTCATGGATCTCTGTACCTTCCACTCTTCCCCATCTTTATAGTTCCTCCCTTCTTCTAGTTCTTGTGTTTCCATCTGTCTGTCCTTATTCTGTTTTCTCACTTCCCCTTTGCTCTTCTCCCTCAACGCTTTGCCTTTATCTTGTTCTATTCCTTCCATGCTAATCCTTTGTGTTTCTTTCCATGCTATTTAACTTCCTTGGATCATTCTCCTTCCTGCCTTCTCCACATTCCCCCAGAGCCTGCTTTTTCCCTGGGAGCTCTGTAGCTCATAGCTCCCTGCACTACACGGTTACATCCTGTTCTCTACCTCTGCAGCCTTTCCTCTCCATTTCTGCCCCAGCTTCTTTTCACCAGCAGTTGCACTGAGGAGGAAAGAAAATCAGCTAGCAAAGCAGAAAAAAGGAATATAAACATGCCAGTTCAACTGTATATCTCAGCTTGTGAGGACTTGCTTGAAATCCTTAGATCTATCTCCTAGTGAATATTCTTGAATCCTTGGGGCACTGTTATGCAAT